GGTTAATTCTCTAGCTCAATGATCATTATCTTTTTCTAAAAAAGAAAAATCTAACTAGCTCAGGTTCTAAATATCGTTATTTTCTCGTCGCAAGAAGTGAAATTTCTTACCACGGTTGAATGTTGAATTTAAAAATTTTCAAATATCAAGAAAGAAGGGAGACAAATTTTGACCCAAAATTTTGTAAATTTCAAGTTTTCTTTAAATGGTTATGAATAAATCACCACTCAACCCAAAAGCAATAAGTTTAGTAAATTTAATTCATTTATATGGATTCTTAACACTCCTCCTCACTTGTGGGCGATCTCCCGTTCTGATATCATGCTAAAGATAAATAAACCAACCACTCAATCGAGAAGCTTAAGTACAATTAAAAATATTAATTAGAGATTCGATTGAAAATTTTAAAACTTTAGAGATAAAATAGAAACTTTTAAAATAATAACGATGAACTCAAAAAATAATATATGCTTTAGTGAGTATGTATGATATATTTAGTTTATCCTTTTCAATTATATTTGTCATTAATATAGTTCCACTAAATTCTCTTATTTCCTTTAATAATTAAACAAAAATAGGATCCCAACTATCAAGGGAGAAAGGGATTCTTTTTTCTTTTTTAATTTACCTTCAATCATATCATCAATAATTAGTAGTAGTAAATAAATAAATAAAATATTGATTTAATTAAATATAAATGACAGTAATAATGTAAATTTTTAGTGAAATTTTAGGGGACAAACGATTTGTGTCATAATTAAATGCATATTTCAAAAAAAGTACTCAAAGCAATAATAATTAATAATTAATGAACATGTGTGGAGCATATTATGGGAAAGATAAGACCTCACCAAACTCAATTATAAAACTGCCTTTTTGTATTAATTAAAATAATATTTTGGCTTTTGCCCACCATGCAACTCTCTGTTCAATCTTTAACTTGTAGCTATGAATAAAATCATCAAAACCCAATAAATAAATAATAAAGATGATTAAATTTTGATTTAAAGTCAAAGCAAGAAATAATAGATAATTAGGTGAAATTTATAGTGATGATTAAGAACATTAGTCAACGATTCGACATAAGTTTAATTAGGCCCAACAAAGGCTACAAGTTTACAACAAGTTTATGTCATATTACTTTGCTATCCTCATTATTGTTGTCTTAAATTCCAAACTTCACCAACTAAAATCGACCACTCTCTTTGGTGTAAATGCTATTTTTTTTTCTCTATGCGAAATTTCAAAACGTCCATTTAATTAGTGTTGTTGTACTTTCAAATTTTTTTCATTTTAGTCCGTGTACTTTCAAAATATCCGTTTTGGTCCTTGTACTTTTAACAAGTGACCAATTTAATCCCTATTTGTAAAATTTTATCAAAGATTTTAAATAGATCCTGGGAACCTTTTAATACAAATTTATGGCTACATTTAAAAAAAATTTAACAAACTAAATGTCGTGAAATTATGGTGGAAAGAAATGAGATAAAGAAAAATAAAGGGATCAAAATAGACGTTTTGAAAGCATAGGGACTAAAATGAACAAAAATAAAAAATACAAAGTGACATTTTGAAAATTATAAAGATCTACCTACCATTAATATTCATAGCATTTCAAAATAGAATGAGTTCTCATTCTAGTTTGTTTTTTGTCTACTTTTTAATTAATGTTCTAACAAATTTACGTTTTTCAACTAATTAATACTAATTGCGTTAGCCTTGCATCACTTAAACGAAAATATCATATCACGAAATTCATTTATCATGTCTACTTTTTATTAAAATCGGAACGTAAACCATAAATAAGGAAATTTGATTTTATTATTTTAAAATTTCTTTTACAATTTCAAAAATTTCTGCTAAAATTAGAAAATGAGAAATAGGAATAGTTCCAAAACACTTGTAATAAAAAATTAAGAAAAGGGAAAAAAAACTGGAAACAAAAAAATAAGAAAGTGAAACATCACTTTTTAAAATTAATAATTGGAAGACTATTGTAAGAGCTATAATTTTATAATTTATTATTTATTAGCACTGAATTGTTGAACCCCAATTAAGAGTTGTTTTAATTAATAGATTAAAGGGAAATAAATAGTGTGGATGCTCATTCTATTAGTGTTTAATCCGAAGATATTAATTACATAATTAATTAAGAAACCCACTGGCAATTGGCATAGGTAGCCCCAGGGCATTTGAAAGCCTATTTATTCTACTTTTGACTATAGGGGTAGCCTAGCCTTTTCCTTTTCCCACACCCTAAGCTAAGGTTGCTTTCTAAAATCCCTTTGCATATTTTTTTGAATTTGGTTGTTAACAAATATTATTAATAAATTTACTTTACTTAGTTTACATATCAAAATGCCATCATTTTGAGGGCCGCACCCCCTCTCTCTCACATTTCCATTTATGTCTGGTTGTCTTCTTTCTAATTACAACGAAACTGATTAAATTGAATTACTTAACTAGATCAGATTAGACGATCCATCTCAATCAGGTTAAGTTGGCTCGATCGAAGACCACCTAGCCAATCAGGAGGACATTCTCTTTATAAATAATTAAGGAAAGAGGTTTGGAGCGTAAAAGTACGTTTTCACAATCCTATTGTTTGCTTCTCTTAATTGAACCATTTTGATTTAGGTATCAGAGTGTGTTCGACTTACGACCACATCCTATTGAGAATTTTTTATGTGTAAGTTGTTCGTGTGAAAATTTGATATTTGATATTGAAATTCATATCCAATTAAAGGTTGAGTTGGCAATGTTAATTGTTGTTATTAAAATTATCATGTATTGTACTTTAAGATCTAAATAATGTTGGGTAGAAAAAATTTGCAAAAAAAAATGATGGATAGAAAATAAATCTAGATCTAATTAGTATTATATTAGTATTATATTGTGTCATTATCAAAGTAAAACACACTTTTGAATTGTAGAATGATAAAGTGTGGATTTGATTATCTTTTTTTTTTTTTCCTTTTTCCATGAAACTAAAATTTCGAAATGTGTGGTTTTCTAAAATGATAGACACAATCGATAAAATAGTTAAACAAATGATTTCGCAGGTTTAAACACTTATTTTAAAACATGATCTTTATAGTATTATATTATTKTGTGTCATTATCAAAATATAACACTTTTTTAATTGTATTGTGATAAAGAATTATGTGATGAGTTTTTCTCGGTAGAACTAAAATTTTARAATATGATTTTCTAAAATGATTGGATACAATCCGTAAAATAGTTGAAAAATTAATGGTATTGAAAGATTACCATATTAATTATTCTTACACCATCCTAATAAAACTATACTGCTTGAAAGGGCTCAAATATATTGAAAATTTTGAACTCTCGCCCATCAAATTTCACTTTCGTTTGGGTCATGTTTTAATTTCTGGACTTTAGTCTGTCACGATTTAGTTAATGTACTTTCACATCATCTTAGTTCTTGTAGGTTTAAAATTTTGCTAACGATTTTAATGGTTTCTTGTTATATGTAGACTCATAAAATTATCATGAGGTACTAAACATGTCAATAAACTACCCAACCTAAATTATTATATAATAAAATCCGACATTTAATTTTGATGAGGTTTTTTTAATACAATAAATTGGAGGTATGAGGTTCGAACCTCCGACCTCAAGAAAAAGAGTATGTGTCAATTACCATTAAACTCTAATCATGTTAACAATTTAAATTTGATGAGATCATTGACGATAAATACTAAGCTTTTAAATTGAAAAGTATTGATGAGGAGGAATCTTGTTATCCATACCATTAAATATTTGACGATTTATTTTTATTTTTAAAAATATTTTTAAAAAATTCAAGAACCTTGAGAATCCCAATAAAAGTAAATGGGTGTCTCTTTCAATGGGAATAGTAAATTTGGTGATGTTTTGAAGCCATAGAATTTCTTTGCCAAAAAGAGAGAGAAAAAAAAAAACATTACAATTCGGATCCTTAATTCTCTGTGAACAAACAGAATAATAAGTTCTCCCATGCATGGCTTATGAATAATCACATGCAGAAACAAGATTTAAGAGAAGAGAAAAATACAACAAAATTAAATTAAAACCCAATTTAATATTCACCATTTTAAAGTTACAGTACAACACAGGTCGATCGTAAAAGCTAAGGCACAGCCAAACACACACTGCTATATATTTGAGATGATAATCAACTTTGAAACCAAAATCATGCTAAAGAAAAAAGAAAGAGAGAGAGAGAGAGAATATTAAGAAAACTTAAAGCCCCAAAA